AGATTGTATTATGGCTTTAACGTCCTGATTTGCGGGATCTGAAGATAGAACGGACAGCAAATCTGAAAGATAGTGATGTCAGTTTGCACGGAGGTCTAAGGGCATGCACGAATTTGACCTTGTTGTGCAGAAGTTCGGTACCCAGCTGCTAAACGGGTTTTGGCACGTAACAGGAGAGCTCTTGCAACATCTGGTGGTGGAACGCCCGAGACTTGAGAAAGAAACGACTGAATAGCATTTTCCATGACAATTCGGACCTTTGTGATGCACATCAATTTAGATTTTATATAAGTAGAGTAATGGCAGAACACGTACCCTTCGGACGGCAGATGCTGCAAAAGCGTGGAGCAGAACATCAGCCTTTTGAGTGTCGGATAGACATCCAGTCACATCGCGGATGCTGGCATCAAGAATGCGAGGATTAAAAACATTCATGAGGAGAGAATTTCCTTGGACTATTGCTCCGTTAGTACGAGGTGAAAATAGAGGGCTTGAGTGCGGCCCAAAGGACTTTGTGTGGTAACTATGTTATACGCTCACTAGGTTTTTGTGGATCCAGAACCATCATGATGATCGCACGATGGTCTGAGAGTCTCGACCCGAGACGTTTTGGGACACTTTCCCAGCTATGTTCCAGAAGCGGATTGATCCAGACTTTGAAACTGCAAACGCCGAATTCGACTCAGGACATGACTCAGGCCTTGGCGGTTAACTTCAGGAATGAGTTCCATACTATTGGTTGGTTCAACTTGGTACGTAATTACTTAGAGACTTGAGCGCTCGAACTCGTGACGGTTGGCACGTATTTGGTTAGATCTGATTAGTACCTGGCACTTGCTCGGCGCCCTACCATCTGCAACACTGCGCACGGAGCGCTCACTACGCGACATTGAACATTAAAAGGAGCTGCCGATCTGGTCCCCTTACTATGTATATGACTTCATCTATCACTTAGACTCCATTGCTTCGACCTGCCAGCACGCCAAACATTGGACTTCGCACTCGGATTATAGGAAGTTAGTCTCTACTAATAGGAATGAAGTGCCATTTCAATTTTCAGTCCGAGTCTGGACCTTCACGCGCACGCGTGAAGATATCGAGGGAAGCGTTATCCAACTCAAGACACGCCTTAGACTAGATTCGCATGAGGATCTACTTGCGGTTCGGGAAAGGCATCTGTATGTGGTATTCCTACGTGTAATTTTGTGAATTGATATCTTGACAATGTCATAGACGTGCTCGTCAAGCGAAACTTCAAACTTCAAGCGCCACTGCATGTTTTGTCGGAAGGACAATCCCGGTCCTATGTCCTCGGCTGTTTGAACCTACTGCCCCGATGGACAGACCTTCGACCTTATTGGTGTCATAATTGTGCTGACATGGCTTCGAAGGTGTCGCAGACTCGCGCAGCACACTTTGATTAGCGCCCAGAATGAGTAATAAGTATAAAAACTTCTGCACGTGTAGACTCGAGCCCACAACTCTCCAGCACTCCACGATGTCGAACCATCAAGCGCTTATCGAAGCACTCTTGATGAAATCAATCCTTGGTCAAGAGCTAGTGGATACGAAGTTTCACTTATTCTCAGGCCGCTCAGCACATCCACGCAAGTCATCCGACTCCAAGCCTTGTCCGCCAACGACGTTGTTCTGACAGCGCGTCCGAATTTTTTGCCCAACGTAAGCTTTTTCCTGTGAATGTGAGTGTCGTGAGCGAGCTCATTAGAGTCGACAGTACTGTCCAGAGCGAGGTCACCTGACGCCACATTTGTCGACTTCGATGGTGGCTCAGCATTCGATGATGGCATGGCGCTTGATGACTACGGATACGCATCTGACAGCGATCTTGAAGATGAAGAAGAGGTCAAAGCTAGTCAGACCCCTCCCAGTGATATCAAGGGTGAGTGATTCAAAACAATATCAGCAACGTAATTCTCGATATTTCTCGCAAGGAAACACCAACAAATCAGATGATGACGATGATGATGACGACAAATGACGAAGATTTACTGGTTGTGGCGGACGCTAGGTCCGAAATCGACGCCCTAACCAGCCCGCTACAGGCAGGCACCGCCCATCGCCCCAATTCAACATAAACCACTAAGTCGTCAACTGCCGGAACATACTCGTGCGAGACACGGCCTTTAGGACGTAAGTTGCATGTCATCACAATCGTGGCGGGCCTTTGATTTCGTATATGCAGATTCAAAACGCTCTTGCTGTATCTGTATACGGACAAGATCGTCTTTCTCTCCACTCAAGTCTCAGGGACCGTCCAGGACTGATGTGGAGACCCCAAAACCCTAGCACTTCGTGGCCTTGCTCACCAAAGTCGATGTATCGTTTAGCCTCCAGGTTCAAGTAAATTTACCTGGTGTTCTCCACATATACTAATACACAATTGTCAGGTTCGACTCGACAGTCTTCGTGACCAAGCTTTGCGTGCAATACATCGTAGTTTGGATGCGGGGAATATTCTGCAAGAACTTTCTTCTCCATTTACATCCAAGTTGGTCATTTTTTGATCAGGCCATAGCAGTGTTAATCAGCTTTACAGTGTCAGGTATGCCGCCATCTTGCAAATGAATGTAGAAGTCCTACTCCAGCATATCGCTTCCGTTCCTGTCATCCAGAATATCCCTTCGCTGCTCAGGAGGATTGCTGACTCGCAATTGCCCCATGGAGCAGACATTGTCATTGATTTGTACCAGAAATTTCTGCTGCGGTACCATCCTCGGGCGCTTGCACTTGCGAATACGCCGATCGAGAGCACGCCGCCTCCTCAGAGTACTACCGGTGACTTGAAATCCGGCAAAAGTAATAGCAAGAAGAAGAAGAAACAGTAGTGTCTAGTGTAAGTTTTCATTGTATATATTGTTTCTGAATCTCGCTGTCGATCTTGCTGTCGCAATAGATTAATTTATGGAGAATGTTGACTGCACGACACTCAGTCAGTTAAACACAGAAGGGTCACCTCCTTCAAAGATGGTTGCTATTAATTGATTCATCGTCTGGATGAACCTGCTCGAGTTTCTATGCATGAGATTGTAGACTTGTGACCAGCCCGCGGCAACCTGGTTCGAGACTATCAAACCATTCAAGAAGGAAGGCAGTCGACGTCTCGCATTCAAGTTTCCTCTTGAATGTTCTGAGTACGGGGGACCATACTTGAAGTGAATGATCTGAGATACGAAGCCAAGGTTGACCCGTCGAGCTCGGTCCCGCTGAACAGCGTTCATATCTTGGACTTGCATTTTGCTTTGCCCTCATAGATTCAGTGAGATCATATACAGACCGACATAACTTACTCGAAGGTCCGTTGGGTGTTACGGGCCATTCCCATCGCTAACATTGCGACAACCACTCTCGTTTCGTCACACCCCCCACCAGTCAGGATATATAACGTCGCGTAGCGTGTAACTTGCTTACACTAATAAATCTATATGTCGAGAATCGTCATCACAACCTGAAAGGGAACGACTGTCTTCATGTAAAGTCATTAGACGTTTCAGCCTGCCATATGGTGCAAGTATGGTGGCTAGCACCAGTAGAGATATTTTGCGACATCAAATAACTTACATACCACGACGATAACATTGCCCAGACCCGCGCTATTCGAACACACAGTAAACAAGTACTACGACGAAACTTGAAATAAATACAAACGAATTCTCCTGCACTCTGCGGACTACCCGGCGAGTGTACATTATATCGAAGATCTCCCGTGTTACACACTACTGCTGGTCGTCACATGGACGCGCTCCTGGAAAGCAATTGAAGTCATAGCGGTTGCTGTATCGGAGTCGGCTACAAGCTTAGCGTGATACTCTCGAACACTAAGGATGAGGCGTGGTCCTAGCACAAATATTTGCACGAACACCAATATCTGAGCAAGACCAAGATAAGTCTGAGATTCCAGGGAGTATGGGTCCTAGAGAAATGACGAATTATGGCTGTATGCAGAGGTCAATGACAGATCAGCATACCGCTGAGAGTGTTGGAGAAAATAAACCGATATGGAAGCAAGCAATGGCAACAAAGCTAACACGTGCAGAACGTGAGTAGAAAAGGAGAGCCGAATTTAAATTATGGGCTCACCTTGCAAAGTAACTAACGTGGGTTTGCATTAATACCGTAAAACAGTCCTCGATAATACCTCTTGTTGAGCCTTTTCGCAGTTCACGGAAGTGCTTTACGGCAATCCAAACTGCGAGACACAGTGCAAGGACCTCCCATACAGTGCCAAGTATCCAAGTCATGGAACCCAGAAATAGGATTTTTCCTGTATAGTCAATAATGCACTGGTAAGTGCCGGAGAGAATGAGTTCCTCTGTGTCAATGAGCCTGATGCACTTAATTATCTCATCCATAATTAAATCTTACCCCCTGAATAGTGCATCACCGTGATTATGAGTATCCCTGCGTTGCTGATTCTGATGGCCAGAAAGATGACAACGAGAAATATCAGCACCTTTCTAGATCGTTGATACATGGCGTGTAACCGAACAATCATGATGACTTGCATGATGTTTCAGTCAAGTCAATATCATGGATGTGTATAGCTCACCGCCCAGTATTACATCTACAACTTCACTTATCCAATCAAGTGTGATGTTTATGATAAGGCCTGACAAATCCAGCAACATTAATTATCAGCCTTGGAGGACCACAGACTCGAGACAAACTCACAGCTGTGGGAGTTGTTATATTGAACCAACAGATTGCTTGAGAATCTCGTTCACCTCTGCATGGTAGTTCAGTTGTTTGGACGGGAATAGAAGGCATCGGTGTGGAATGCTCACTGCATCTGTCTCCGAAATTGTTGGAACACCGACTGTATGTCGCCTGTCATAAGAAAGAAACAGGGCCTGTGCGGGGGGACATACCCAACATGACCATCCTGATCGTGAGAGAATGAGCAACATCAATGGCTTAAACTTCCAAACGTACACAGCATATCCTATTCCAGCATAGCGCACCTAGGATATTTTGAAGTCAACAGGGGTTGGACTTGCTAAGCGTAAATATTAAAACACAAGGCACATACACTGAGATAGAGAAAAGTCATCAGGGACCAGCGTTGCCTCTGCCACAAACAAGTTGTATTTTCACGTCGTTCCTTTGATATGGGAGTCTACTCACCCATATCAGTTCAACCTGCAACACAATTCTAAGCGAGTTAGCTGCCCTGGTAATGGATCGACCTACCTCTTGTCCAAACGTAAGTGCTGGAAAAACTGTAAAGATATCAACAGTTTTTCCATACTCAATTTTCCTCACCCCAATCGTACATTATCACAGCATAGCTAACAACTGCGAAATGGCAGCGAAGGTCAGTCACTGGCATCATACGGCTGACTCTCCACGAACCTACAAAATAGCTGCCAACGAGACTCGCATTGATGAGTGGCCACCAACTGGGATCATTCGAGACTAGGGTCATACTATTAGAGGATGGAGGTGAGCAAGCAGGGGAACTCAGTGGACGTACAATGATCGCGTTCGTGCTTGATATACCACAAGCCAGTGCTTACATCGCCGACGAAGTGTTTCAGCATAAATCCTAAAGTAGAAAAGGAATATGCATCCAGGGAAACCAATGGGATCAAAGTAACGGTTGTTGGTGAAATCGCAAAGCAGTGACTTGGACGGAATGTTTGAACGCCGCATGCAAAAGATCGGAGAACTGTTTGTCATTTCGGCAACGTGCCGTGGCGTTGCAGTGCGGTCTTCAAAGTATTCTTTTGGTATTCGGTATTCTTGCTACAGTCAAGTGACCTCGGCCCGTTAATAACGCCGTGTGGCTCATTGATCCGACACAGACATCGTGGGACACATGTCACTGGTTTATACCTGTGTCACAATTGACAGTGTCTGCCACGACCTTACTTCTGAGTCATGTGCGCGTTGATTAGTACTAATGCGCTCAAAAGTACATACACGCACCAATACTATCAAATTCCCTGTAATAAAACACGATCGACGTATAGCGACGAGGGAAGTCGTGCAAAGACAGTAGGAGGTTGTACAGAGAAGGGGCAAAAGGCGCGGTTGTACAAAAGAGGAAAGGGTTGTTGTGCAAAGAAAGAAAGATCAAGTGATGTGGACAGGAACGGAGGTAATAGGAATGAAAGCGATGACGAATGGGCAGTGATGATACATGCTTGAATGCGAAGTTAATAAATGTGTGATGACTCCAGTTTGGTGGTTCATAAGCAATGGATGCACTGGCGAATAGACAGATCAAGGTCGAGCTCGAGGAGCAAATAACCGGTTGGAAGAGGGAGAATTAGGGAAATCTCCTGTTCGTTGTGAATTTCCTCCATCCATGAAAAAACTGCGTCCCAGGGAGATGCAGAGACCGATATTGATGAGATAAAGAAACCGGAAAATAGGGTGTGAACTGCGCGTTTCGTGACACAAGTGAGAATGAGAGCTGAGGAGAACGAATGAGTGTGTAAGCGTGCATTATGACGCATAATAGCGAACGAATGAGCGAATGTGTGGGCGTCCTAAGAAATAAAGAATAAAATATGGATTGCCAGAATATATAAAGTGAGGGACATGTGAGACATACCTTTGACGATCGGAAAACGAAAAAGACCGGTCAGGAGCGAAGGGATGAACGAGACGGGCAGAAGAAATAGGAGGGAGGTCAAAGTGTGGAGTGGAGGCGAATAGGACGAACAGAAAGGAAAGCTCGCAAACAAAATATCGAAGCCAGGACAGTGTCAAAAAGGCGACAGCAAGAGAAGATTAAGAAAAATAAGCAACTTGTGGACGGTGAACAAAAAAGACGCAAAGTAAGAAAAATGACATACAGAAAATTGAGGAAAGAAAGAAATCAAAAGAACTCGTCAGATGAAGGAGATAGAGCGATCGTGAAAACATAGAAGTAAATCCAACGTGATATACAAAAATGAAGTCAGAGGGGATGGAGCAATCAAAAATAAAGCATCAAGAATAGGATAAGAAACGTCTGCTCACACTGGACACCGGAGTTCAGGACCGAACATCGAAGGGTTTCGCACGAGGTTGCGGTGGATGAACTTTGGCTTCGTCTTCAGTTCCTGGATCCTTCTTCTTTGCCTTGGGTTTCGCCTTCGGCACGGACACAGGCAAGGCAGGTGTCGAGAGCGAGACGGTTGCTGCAGCAGTCTCTACGCTCACCATCGAAAATTCATTATCGTTATCCAACAAGCTAGAGGAAGCCTTGGGCAGTGAAAAAGCGCCCTGCCCGACTCGCGTTTCCTAGTCAGATCCTTGTGCACAGGTGATGTAGTAGTAATTTGCGTCGATGCCAAAACTGGCAGGGTCCGTCGTGTATGCACACCTGAGGACGCGACTAACGACCACGAAGGTTTCCTCGTACGGGGCTTCTTCGCACGTTGAGAACGTGCTTTCTCCTCTTCGTCAGAGGGGATGGATAGGGAAAGCATGTGTCCCTAGGCTGCCTGATATACATAGCTGCATGATTGTGGTGGTGGGTAACACTCGAGGTTTATATGAGGGTGTCTTTGGCAGGAGATTAGGAATAAAGCGGGGATTTTTTTTCATAGGACGTTGACACTCTTCGTTGACGGTGTCCTTGTATTAGCAGGCCGTATAGGGACTTTCTTGACCTTTATACCAACGGTAGGTGCGTCAGGATACCCTCCGCTACGGCGAAATTCGGTAACCTTGAACAGATTCTCGCCGTCACCTTCCGGGTCCACGCGCATGTCACAGAAGCTTGTGAGGGTCAACGTGGACGATCTATGCAGGAACAGGAATGCCAAAGGTAGAATTCGAATTCGAGGACGTAGTGGATTGCTCTGAGAGGCATTAAGTGTTGATGAGTTGGGTGCCGAGGGAGCAAGGGAATATTCCGTTGGACGATGCAAATGAGCAGGACGCAGGTACAGGTGGTGGAAAGTGTGCTCGTGTCGTTACAAAAGGCTGAGTATAATGAGATAAGGGGACAGAGCGTAGGAAGGGACCAACCGAGCAATGCTCTCATCATGGTAGGTTGAAGTACATCTGGAAGTATCATTTCGTTCAGCACATTTGCTCAAATCTGCCGGATGGTGTGCATTGCCGTTGGGAAAGATGATGTCCTCGTCAATAATAGACTTCCACCGCTCCTCCATTGCTCTTGCACGGACCAGGTCGAGTAATTTAGCGCACGTCGCGGTGACAGGATTGGGCTAGTCATTTGGGCCGTTGGTAGCAGTGTAATCTTGTCAAGAAGGTTCGGGGGCGGAATTGAGCCGTTGAGAGGCGTAATAAGATGAGAAAATAGCATATCCAAGGTCTCGGGCGAATTTTGAGTCAGTCACTTGACGAAAATCGAAATTCAACTCACCCTCCAAGCAACCTAACCTCATCCTCCTTCCACTCTGCGCTAAGGTCGTCAAAGTCATAGTTTGAGCTATTCCGTAATTACAACTGTTCCTAGTTGGGGCCGGAGGCGAAATGAAAATATGAGACGCAACTGAGCCACGAGAAGGAGTCCGTAGAGCAGAAGAAACGAAAGAACTTGTTGAAAGATGCGGTCTGATAACTGAAGGAATACTAGGTGGAGCAGAGGGAGAAACAAGAGTGCTGAACGTTGAGTTGGACTTGGAGAACTTCGAATACGGCTCTGCAATGCATTGAGCACTGATGAACTAGGCATCGAGGGAGCACGTAAATGTCCTGTTGGACGACGCAAGTGAGCAGGGTGCTGGTGAACAGACTGTGGCCCTGGAAGCGGAATATTTATGCCTACCGTGAATGAGGGGGGATCCCGTCGACCGATCTCAGGCTGATCAGTCACCATAACCAGTATTCAAACATTCATACTCTGCGCCTTTCCCAGCTATCGCTATTATACATTTCTGAGTGTGTTGCACGTCACCAAAATTACCGAATCCAGACATCACATGATATGTTGAACTCGTGTATTTGAAATACCATCGCGATATGACATAACTCATCTAGTAATATACCTTATCATTAAAATAAAACCCAATGAATTCAACTGTAGAGCTCTTACATAATATTAATTTTAATGTCGCAGCGCTAAGTCCACACCTCCATCTGACCAGTACCGTGAATGAGTGTCAATTTTGCACCCTCGGAAACAAGGTAGGCCATACCCTAATTCTTGGGATCCTATCCGATTCGTGAGCAATTCCGAAAGTAAATAAATGATCTTTGTGCCAAACGCATGGTATTCCCAAGTAAGTCATGTTCTACTGCAACTAGCTACCGAGCTTCTTCATGACTCCGTACCCTAGTCTCATCCCCATTGACAATGGTGCATGCGGATCTGTTCGGATGGATCTCTTATCTACGGTCGTGGTCATGGTTTAGCTTGAATGACGCAGCAGAAAAGTGATCGATAGTGGCCAGCTATGTAGGTTGCAGACGTCTGATTCCATGTTTCTGATCGATCTTTTTCCGCAGTCACGTTATACTCTTCTCTACTTCTATTATTATATGGCGCCTGCCACTTGGTTCATCGGCGCTTCAACGTTTCAACGCTCAGTGGCAGGTATGCTCTTTGGATGTGTCTTTTATTCCTACTTAGGACAGCCATCATGCATCATGCACGCCCCTTAGATTGTTCATCGTTGAATCTGGGAGATTTCTAGGATAATGCGGACACTCACCCGGGATGGTCTTCACATAATGCAACGCCGTATTATCGCGATGAATACCCTTCGGTTTTCCAAACTTTCGAGAAGCCCGATGCCCTCCGGTTTCTGGTTTGATCGATAAGATACATATGTACTCTCTCACCTATTTAATCTTCCCTAGGGATTTTCATCCTCGTTATCTTCACATCCAAGTACTAATTACTGGACCAAATGGATGATCTTCAGTATTCTCTCGATCTTTTCAAACATCTAGGACGTCGCTCAGTCTTACCTTTGGTTTCGCGCCCTATTTCTACGATATGCCAAGCTGCAGCGACTGGCGACCTTCCTGACCTGAATAACGTTCAAGGCGACGCGATTTATCTCTTTCCTAAAGTAAATGACCCGTTCAATTAGCTCTTCTTTCAAGCATCCTCAAACATGTCCGCTGACGATTTATTTTAACAGAATGCCGAAAACTTCGTATTTTTCAGGATCAACAACGTAACATCGTTCAGAACTGCTCTGCGGTCCTTTAAGCCAACGACTGCGGAAGACGTGAAAAATAATCTTATCTCGATCACTGTGGCAAAGGCAAACGCTCGTGATGCAAGCAGTGTCCCGACAGTCGATATCGCGCAATACCAGATTTCATTCAGCCGTGCCGGCCTGTATTTCCTCGGCGTGAACGAGGGCACCGGAGATGTTCGCTTCGATAAGCGCTGCATGAATGACGACAAGGAACTCATTGGCGATACAAAACAATGGGACCCTATGTTTGTCAAAGCAACACCTGACCCGGTGAACGGATCAGTGCGTAATGATACCGGAGCTCTGCATGGCGTCATCACTGTCGCCGGAAGTAGTGAGTACTTGTTATTTTGAAGGAATTGACCTTCTTGATGCACGTTTGGTGAAGGCGCCGAGACTTGCACCAAAGCTTCAAACGATGTCATAGACCTATTTGGCTCATCGATAACGGTTGCCGGCGGCAAGCCAGTGGAAGGAAGGGCTCGACCACCCCCCTACAAAGGGCATGAGCATTTCGGCTTTCGAGATGGGATCTCCCAACCTTGTCTACGGTGAGTATTTTCCAGACGTCGCGTTTGTACAATAGGACTTCAACATTCCATCAGGGGCCTCGTTATTCCTCGCGCTGGCCAGGTTCAAGTTGATCCTGGAGTGATTATAATGGGTTATCCAGGCGATCCTGTACGGGACAATCCGACTACCAAAGTGAAACGTCCGGCCTGGACCAAGGATGGGACGATTTTGGTATTCAGGAAGCTTGAGCAATCTGTTATCTCTTTCGAGGATTACGTGCAAAGGAATGGACCCCGTTGGCGCGAGTTCATTCCCGGAGGCGATATATCTCCTCCACTCAACAAACAAGAAGCTGAAGATCTCTTTGGGGCACGGTTTATTGGGAGGTGGAAATCGGTGCGATACAGCAACGCTCTTTACACTCGTGCATTGGGCTCATTGAACACACGTTTGTGACAGGGCGCACCCCTTGCTAAATGCCCCTTCCGCGACAACCAAAAAATGGCGCTTGACCCGGACCTCATCAATGACTTTGACTACGTCGTTCGCGATAACCCGAATATATCACAATATGAACCTAGTGATTATCACTGCCCATTCACTGCACACACGCGCAAGATCGCGCCACGTAATTTGAATCCTTATATCGATGCTAAATTCCTCGGATCGGGTTCGATCGTACATGCAGGGCTTCCGTATGGCGACGAGGTGAGAAAATTCAGACATTGTGCCATTATTGCTCCTCCTGATGTGTGCTGTCTCCTTCCCCCAGGTTACTGATCAAGAACGACGCGATGTAGCAAACGGAAGCGATGAGTTACCTCGCGGGCTTCTGTTCAATTGCTATATGTCCGACTTGGACTCAGGATTCGTTCGTCATATGATTGGATACGCGAGAAATGATTACTGGCCCATGACGTCCCTGGTACCGCAGAAGAAGGGTAACTAATTTAAAGAAGTCCTTCGCCTTTATGCCACTTTAACCAATAGAGGTTAGGCCAGGACTCTGTCATCGGTAGCCCGCCTGTGTACAGACCTGCTCAACTCGAAAGCACATCTCCCTTAGTAAATTCCGGGGATAAAGTCGACCTACAACTCGCCGATGCGGATGGTGCGGCGTTCGAGGTGTGCGGATTCGCTAAGGTTACCCCTAAGGGTGTGATTCCACCACCCGGTGAACCAAACCCTTACTTCGTTAGTGCGAGGGGAGGAGAATACTTTTTTGTTCCTTCTGTCTCGACCTTGAAAAGTTGGGCTAGCGTAACCACTACTACGACGTAGGTTCTTCCTTCTTTCTGATGTCAATTCATTGATTGGTCTTTTCACCGGCAGCATTTTAGAAACTGCTGACGTCGACGCAACAGCCGAAGATGCCAGCAAGAATTTATATGGCCGTTTGTCATCCTCTGGTCAGGTTAACACCTTCACTGTTGAGGACATATACGTCGCGAATGAGCACGGTGACAAGAATGTTCAAATCTGTCTCAACGCAGAACAGATGGACGACAATACGACATCTCAGATCAAAGAGGTCAGTCTTCCGATTTCCGTTGGCCCTGCTAGATATGACAGCTGGTGCAGGTTACTGGTTTCCGTCTCAAACGCGAGTGCTGCCAGGGTGGGACACTGGCAATGAGTTCAAAGATACAGCCCGTTAGCCTCAATCAAGTATGTGATTTTCTCTTGCTCTCCAGTGCTCAAGTGACGGGTATATTCCGTGACAGGTTGAAACAGTAGGTTGAAACACTAGTGAGGATGTGTTTGGCGAGGGCGACGTGAACCTCTTGTTCACCAGGAAATGTTAATGCAATATTTGTTTCTTGTAATACCGTCCGATTTTCAATGTGTCAAGTGTCGAACAGTGATACGGCTGGCGACGTAGTAACTATTACGCTTAAGAAAACAACGCCTTGCTTTCTGACCGCTCCTTCCGAGATAATATGGTCACCGCTGCATCTTCCGAAGGAACAGCACGCATCGTTATACTCTCATTGATATCGCCGATCGTTTGTATATGCATGAGTTCACTGTATATCCAATGTACAGTCTCCTGCGGAGCTATAAACTGAACCATGGTCACAGCCCATCCGATCATCTGCCGCCTCTAGCAGCTCGTGTATCCACATTCTTCTACAATATCCCTCCACGATTCATTCGCTCGTTATTCTCCCGATGTCAGCCTCTTGTGCTGATCGTCCCGGCCATATTCGTGTTATAAAAAGGCTGTTGGTCGAATGCGTTTGTTGCTTTACAGGTGATTCCCACCATTCAAGTTGTGCCGGACTATGGTGAACTCTTCACGATCTGATTCTCCCATATCTCCGAAAGACGAGACCAGCGCGGCATAATAAGCATAATATCTAGTATCTGCAATATTGTATCTGTCATAAGACATGGATGATTGTGATGACGAGTTACCCACCTCCCAATGCATAAGGTCCATGTTGAGAATACCTTCTACGCTACTATTTTGCTGTATGAATGAGCATGTCAATATCCAGAACTCGAGATCAACGAGTGATGGACTTGCATGTGAACAAAATATCCGGGCTTTTCATTCTTCTGCGAAATCCCGCGAGCCTGATGTGAATCTAATTGGACTAAAAGAATTATAGTCGAACGTAAGGGATATGCTACCTGCGAGAAGCCCTTGCTGAAGATGGACACCCCGCGAGTGACTGTACTGTGTCAGCTCAGGACGGCACCGAATACGTCGAATAAGCAGGCGTCAATTCGCAGAGGTCAAGTCCTTTGGTATTCGTCATGGTCGAACTCGCCGATGTTTACAAGGGATGACAAGCTTGAGCTATGACGGAAGTGGGATGGCGTTATCGGTAGATGTGGTTACATGGCAGCATCAAATGTTACCCTTCGGATGTCTGTTCTGAGAACTCCATTGATGGCTGACCCTGCAATCACTGCAGTGCGAGCGCGAGTTGTCGAAAACGTGCCAATTGAATTGACATTGTCTGTGTCAGGATACGTAGGAATCAGGTGTCATTCATCCGAGGAAAAGTCTGCGCTCCTAAATAGTTGCTCCGACATATCTGAGTTTCATTCAACAAGACAGACGACATGGCACAGCAAAAGACGTACACGATGTCGAATTCAGTGTCGCATACCTGTACAGAGTCTCTCCTTTGTAAGTACTAAGCAGCCTCACACGCGCTCTGGCGTAGAGTTCGCCGCTCAGGCTCATGTATATCATCCACACGTACTAGCAAGGCAGGAAAAACGTTATTGGCGATGAGCATCGGGAGATGTAGGAATACCAAAACTGAATTCAGGCAAGTTTGAGGTGTCATCGAAGAGCCACGAACAAAATTTGATTATGCAAAATGCAAAATTGTCCGGTTTCTCTGGAAGGACTGAGCAGGGGAAAGCGCGTAGCAAGATGCAGAGAAAGTGCAATCACCATAACAATCTAAAATCGCATGTGTTAGCGCATAGAATCAAAATCGAAGAATTGGATATCACATACCAGAGGGTGTCAGTGTTATCCTATGCCAAAGCTTGTAAGTTGCGAAAACACTAGGGACTGACCTTGGCCTACATATGCCTCCAAGTGTACTTCACTCACTGAGGACCCTGTGTGCCGAGATCCACAGTGGTAAATCAAGGGTCGTGCTTACATCCGACAGAAGTATGAGCTTTGTGATCGCATGTCATTCATGTGATTGATACAGGGACGGCGACGGGAACTAAACCGAGGGGTGTAGTGGCCACGCATTAAGAGATAGTTGTTAACGTTGTGGCGCATGCGACAAGCATTAAAATGAACATCGGGGCATCGAGAGATATACCTGCGCAATTCAGAAGCAGCCACATAACTGGCTGCCTCCATGCTCCCCGGGGGTAAGCTGCCCTGTGTGTAGCAGTTGAATCAGTTCAGCGGAGGACGGGAAGAAAGATAGTCCTCACCGCCTAACTAGCCCTCATTAGTGAGGTGAGTACCCGCTGCAGTGTTGCGCTATAAATGGATGCATTAAACCCGGAACATAGTAGGAAAAAATCGAGCAAACGCACTTCTTTACCATGCGCGAGAGGAACATTGATAATGGGCGGCAATACAAGACCTGCACTAATGAACCATAGGTGGCGTGTGCGGGCGTTGAATACAATAGCAGATGATTAGGCGGTGGGTTGTCGAGACTGAAAAAATGTAAGTTGAGAATGCGATGACGGCAGTCGACACTTACGTTCTGGTGGGGATGGATATCTGGCGCCTGAGTCACAGCATGCGCAGAGGCAGAGCGATTGGGGGGTGTGGTTGACGTCGCAGGGAACTGTCAAGTCGACATCAAAAGAAACTGGGACGGGTAGATCAACTTCGCACATCCAGAGGATCACGAGGCTGGTCGTTCTGAATAGTAGGAACAGCTACATTTGGGCGAGAGGAGGAGGGAATGAGTCTGCAAATGTGACATAGAAGAAGGCAAGCCTGGGCAAATCTGTCCAACAAAATTCACCGTGCAAAGTTGATAGTAACTTCAATGCACTCGAAAACTAAATTTGCTAGAGCGGATGCATTACATAATCTCAATTCACAAGCTCCGAGTCAATGAGTTATTTGTTTGTTGATGTAGTAGTCTCTTCATTATGAGAAGTCATGAAGTAAAATGCAGCTATAGCATGATGGTTTTATGGCATGATCTGCTAACCAGCAGCCTGCATGCCACTGCTTACGGAGATATCAACGATCATCATTGAGGTATCCGATTATACCATTTGTTTCGGTCGTACTCACTTACCGTCAGTCATGCAGAAAGCTCTCTGTCGGACGAAAGAGATTAGGATGAGCACGGGGATTGCGCTGCCACGGACAATCCTTCTCCCCCGATCTAGATGAGGCGATCAAAGAATACAGCGCAGTCTTGGGCCCTAAGCTAACTCACCAAAGGTTAGCCTGTTTTATCGATATCAATCCTCGTTCACACCGCATCGATGATTGAGCACAGGATGTATCATGTGAATTTTTACCACCATCCTCGCCTCTCAATGCACATCTCCACCAGATGTCTACATTCTATTAAACTCCTCAGACTTCATATCGCACGATCTCAGTGTCAACACGGTCTTTGATGGATGTCAAAGCGATCTCTCGAATCCATCCCCGTATCGACTCGCGCTTGTGCTGCGGAGATGTTCGCAAAGGACGTCTCATAGGTACGTGCTAATTTGCTCAAACAAGACCGATGACGCTTATGTCATGCAGGAATATCATAACGCGATTTGAATTCTACCGTTTCATGAACGACCCCCAAACACAGCAAAAGATTGTAGAGACGCATTAGTGTTTCTGGGAGGAAAGGATCAAGTCCAAATGGCAAAACCGTACGTGTTATACCTCCGTCGCAGTTCCTACGCTCGTTTCACGTATGAAGATATCTTTGACGTGTTGATGATACGTGATCTGTCTCGGGGGCACGTCCTAGACTTCAACTCATATGCATCCCGAACAGATCCCTTCCTCTTCACGTACGAAGAGCTCTTGTCAGTCTTCACACAGGGGTTGAGTTCGTCTAAGCTCCATATCGTCAACTCACCTTTACACCCGACCGCAATATGCAATGTACCAGGATAGAATGGGCAAGCCGTATAGGGATAGAACGTAGTGAAGAGAAGCTTGTTGTATGCCCCATTGTAGTCATTTTCATTGGTCGTATCAGCTGGAATATAAGCAAATGTATCAAGCACATGCTCCCAACGAGGCAACATTATTGACAAAAGAAGAAATATCGTAGGCAAACTGGATACGTGATTGTTGTTGTGGTTGAGCATTGGATAGAACGTAGTGCAGAGAAGTTTGAAGTATGCCCCATTGTAGTCATTTTCATTGGTCGTATCAGCTTGTTCGGCAGACGACCTGGACTGTGAGCAATAAACCGGTCCAATGACATTCAGGCGCGTCGAAACGAGTATCAATCAGGCATGATGTACGATCCGCGTGGGGTCGAATGACCACAGCTTCAAAGAAGAGTCTTTGACATATGGAAGTGGTCGGCCTTGACACTGCGATCACATTTTGGCTCTCAGAATCCGACTCTTGGTCTGTTGAATCCCCGTCGGAACTATTAGAATCACCCTCCCCATGTCCTCATCAAAATGGCGTGAGCCCGATGCTGACAGAAGATTAGAATGTAAGGGCTGGAATGCCACGCAGCCAACCACGTCTTCGGTCACAAAGATCAGTTATAAAGGGATGAGCGCGGGTGTTCGGTATACTTGCCTCCGTGTGCGTTGAAAGTCATCTCTGCGGCGATATTCTGCGGCGAAATCACTGATGACTGTTCAGGATCCAGTTCGTCCGAATCTCCAAGATCAAACATCGAAACACATCCATTCTATAACCAGATTGTTAGCCAGAAAGTTTGAATGGCGGATATCTGTGAAAGTCGAGTACCTGATCACCGACGCTTAACCATCTCCCAGCGCAATCTATGTCGAATTCGATTTTTTGATTGATTAAGGTTTTGCAAGAATCAGGGGACGTCCTGAAAACTTTCAC